CCCTCTCACCTGTCCTTATGTAAAGCAAAGTAAAGCAAAGTGAAGCAATGAGCGTCCACTGCACAGCTTGGTCTCATCTATAGTTACATAGTTAGTCTGGCTGAAAAAAGACAAAAGTCCATCCAGTTCAACCATTACAAAATAAAAAAAAAAAAAAACAATCCTATACCCACAGTTGATCCAGAGGAAGGCAAAAAAAACCCCAGCAAAGCATGAACCAATTTGCTCCTGCAGGGAAAAAAATTCCTTCCTGATCCCCTGAGAGGCAATCGGATATTCCCTGAATCAAATTTACCTATACATGTTAGTAACCAGTTATATTCTGTGTAGCTAAGAAAGAATCCAGGCCTTTTTTTAAAGCAATCCACTGAGCTGGCCAGAAACAACTTTTGGGGGAGTCTAGTCCACATTTTCACACGCTCTTACTGTGAAGAAACCTTTTCTGTGTTTGGAGATTCAATTTCTTTTCCTCCAGACGTAAAGAGTGCCCCATTGTCCTCTGTGATGACCTAATGGTGAATAACTCTGCACCAAGTTCACTATATGTTGAGGGGACCCCCTTTGAAGATGTGGCTGTGATGATGACCCCACTGGAAGCAAATCTCCACCAGTGTGCCTCTTTAGCATACTTGGCTCTCAGATGGCATTTGTGGATTTCTGACTCAACCCAGTCCGGTCAGGGTCTACACGGCTCCACACAGCTCTCCACACATGTCCTACAGCAGCCAGGACTCACTTCCTCTTGTGTTCCCAGGCTTTTTCTTTTATATCCTCCCGCCCCTGGAAATTGTCCATGGTAGGTGTAGTTTACTCTCAGCTAAACTGTATGAAAAATTCTGCTCCCAGCATACAAGTCCCAGCAGCCTTTGCTCTCCTGTATTGGGATTCATGATGAACAAAGTTGTGGGACACTGCCATCTTGAGGTCAAAATAGAGATCTGCATACAGTAACAATGCACAGTGTTACATAATAACATTGAACTTCAGAAATTTAAAACCACTTTGGCAATTTACACCATGCTGATGAACCAACAAGGGACATCAGCTGCATACATAGTGGTAAAAATAGCACAGACAGATCAAAACTAAGGGCCTAGCCTTAAGTGTAAGGTAGATGTGACTGTACAGCAGCCTTTCTCAACCAGGGTGCCTTGAGGTTTCTTTATGGGTGCCTTGGCAAAATGTCTAAAAATTGCCCAAAACTTGTATTCAAGACAGCGGGTGGAACAAGCCTGCCTTTTAGTTACACAAAGCCATAGGTTTTCATTGTGCAGCATTACCACCTTCTAGCCACGGGTGTCCTGACAACCAATGACATCATTTGATAAGGAGGATGTCAGTTGCCTGCACAGCATCCTAGTTTGACCCTCCCCGTCCCTCTCCATCAGTGCTGGGGTCACATTAGCTGAGTGATGGAGGAGAAAATTGAAGGAGAAGAGAAACACTGGAATACTTGTCAGTATCATTGTGCAAAATTGTATTTGCTTTGGAAGAATAAATCACCTCTAATGTTGGGTGTCCTATATGTGTGGATGTTGCTGCGTTATATAAAACAATTTGAATAGTTTTTCACATTTTATAATGGGGTGCCTCAAGACTGTCTGTAATTTTCAAGGGTGCCTCAGGACTGTCCATGATTTTAAAGGGTGCCTTGACTGAAAAAAGGATGAGAAACACTGCTGTAGAGAACAGTGGTGTATTGTATATTCACTGCTGACATCTTTCCAAATGTATCCAGTTACAAACTGGCAAGTGATTGCAAAGCAGCAGAAGATTACAATACTCCAAACTGTAAATAGTTACCAAAGGGACCTTTGCTGGCTATATATCAACCCACATTTTTTTCTAAATATAGAAAAGCCAGAATTTCTATTTATTTATTACAGGCATTGATATAGCGCTGAAAATGTATGCAGTGCTTCACATACTGTGCATTCACATCAGTCTCTGTATTCAAGAAGCTAATATGCACACATGCACATAGTAGGGCCAATTTACTTATCAGCATGCTTTTGGAGTGTTCTAAGAAACTGCATGAAACACAAAAAAAAAAACTAAAAGGGTGCAACAGCCTAATTCAGTATCACAGACACCATTGTTTAGAAAAAGTAATTAAAAATACTCCCAAACGTGTTAAAAACACAAGGATGTATCCAGTAGCACTTACACAATCAATGCCCAAGACCTCCTTAGCATGCTACAACAAGAAGTAATGCTGATGTGTTTAAAGGTACAAGCCCTGTTCCTCAGAACCAACCTGCTGACCTACTTTCTTGCCCTTATTCCCAGCCCAATATTAGGTAGTTATAAGCCCCTGTGCTTGAGGGGCAGTACTTTCCGAGGTGGTTTAACCCAATAAGAATGGCAGTCCAGAAGTAAAACAGACCAGACCACACATCATGGTTCTAGGGGACAAGAGGAAGTCAAAAGGTAGCTGCATGACCACAGGGGTGATTATAAATATGTGTTCCCTAATATTTGTCTTTAGCCTATCCCCAGATCACATTCTTATGTAGCCAATCATAAAAACAAAACTCATTGTCACATATAAGTTTCTGCTCTGCATTAGGCTCCCTTGACTTATCCTGCATGTTCCCGATTGCAAGCTCCATATCAATTCGGTCTCTATGCCTGCTATATAACACACACTCCCCATTTGGTAGGAAACTGGAGGAAACTACACAAGCATACACAGATCATGTAAACACTATGCATTTAGTGTCCTGGCTGAAATTTAAAGTGAGGACCCCAGTAAAGCAAGACAGAAATACTGACCAGGAAGCCACCATGATTTTTCTTTTCTTTTTCTGAGGGCCTCCAAACAAACGCCAGACCCCAGGATCCAGCCCAGAAAACTGGAGGAAACTACGCAAGCACATACAGATCATGTGTACTCTACAGTTGCAAGAAAAAGTATGTGAACCCCTTGGGATCATGTGGAGTTTTCCATGAATTGGGCATAAAATGTGCTCTGAACGTCATCTAAGTCACAACAATAGAAGAACACAGTCTGCTGAACATAATACTACACAAACATTAGATGTTGTCATGGTTTAATTGCACATAACATGTAAACATTCACAGTGCAGGGAGGAAAAAGTATGTGAGGCCCTAGCTTAATGACTTCTCCCAGAGCTAATTGGAGCCAGGAGTGAGCCAACCTTGACTCCAATCAGTGTGATGATATTGGATGTGTTGCTGACAGCTGTCCTGCCCTTAAAAAACACACACCTGTTTTGGGTTTACTGGTTTCAAGAAGCACTGTCTGATGTGAACCATGCCTCGCTGAAAAGAGCTCTCAGAAGACCTATGATCAAGAATTGTTGACTTGCATGAAGCTGGAAAGGGTTACAAAAGTATCTCCAAAAGCCTTGATGTTCATGTGTCCACGGTAAGACAGACTGTCTACAAATGGAGAAAGTTTAGCACTGTTGCTACTCTCCCTAGGCGCGGTCGTCCTGTAAAAATGACTGCAAGAGCACAGCGCAGAATGCTGCATGAGGTAAAGAAGAATCCCAGAGTGTCAGCTAAAGACCTACAGAAATCTCTGGCACATGCTAACATTTTTGTTCACACATCTACAATAAGGAAAACATTAAACAAGAATGGAGTACATGGGAGGACACCACGGAGGAAGCCATTGCTGTCCAAAAAGAAGATTGCAGCACGTTTGAAGTTTGCAAAAGAGCACCTGGATGTGTCCACAGCACTACTGGCAGAATATACTGTGGACAGATGACACCAAGATTGAGTTGTTTGGGAAGAACACACAACACTATGTGTGGAGAAAAAAAGGCACAGCGCACCAACATCAAAACCTCATCCCCAATGTGAAACATGGCGGAGGGAGCATCATGGTTTGGGGCTGCTTTGCTGCCTCAGGGCCTGGACGGATTGTTGTCATTGATGGGAAAATGAATTCCAGAGTTTATCAAGACATTTTGCAGGAAAACGTACGACCATCTGTCCGCCAACTGAAGCTCCGCAGAGGATGGGTGATGCAACAGGACAATGACCCAAAGCATACAAGTAATTCAACAAAACAATGGCTGCAACAGCACAGAATACGCCTTCTGGAGTGGCCCAGTCAGAGTCCTGACCTCAACCCCATTGAAATGCTGTGGCATGACCTTAAGAGAGCGATTCACACCAGACATCCCAAGAATATTGCTACACTGAAACAGTTTTGTGAAGAGGAGTGGTCCAAAATGACTCCAGATCGTTGTGCAGGTCTCATCTGACACTACAGGAAACGTTTGGTTGAGGTTATTGCTGCCAAAGGAGGGTCAACCAGTTATTAAGTCCAAAGGTTCACATAATTTTTCCTCCCTGCACTGTGAATGTTTACATGTTATGTGCAATTAAACCATGGCAACATCTAATGTTTGTGTAGTATTATGTTCAGCAGACTGTGTTCTTCTATTGTTGTGACTTAGATGATGTTCAGAGCACATTTTATGCCCAATTCTTGCAAAACTCCACGTAATCCCAAGAGGTTCACATACTTTTTCTTGCAACTGTATGCATATTGTGTCCAGGCTGAGATTTGAAGTGAGGACCCAAGTAAAGCAAGACAGAAATACTAACCAGGAAGCCACCATGCTGCCCCCTTTCTTTTCTTTTTCGGGGGGGCCTTCAAAGAACCGCCAGACCCCCAGGATCCAGCCCAGGTTATATTGTGGGTGATCCAGCACTGCTAAGTAGTTTTCACTTTCTGATGCTAGGCCCTAGTTTATTTCTACCAAAGACGCTACTGGCATGTTTGCATAAGTTTCCTCACACAACCCAAAAATATAGCAGCAGTGTAATTGGCCTCCAAATAAATCAGCTTAGTCACTGCATGCATGTTTATAAGAATGTATTAGACACATTATATTAAACATTAGTGGTCTTCATAAAGAGAAAATATGCTTTGATGTCTCAAGTGGTTTTCATGCATTTGCATTTTGCATGCTCCTGGTAAATTATATCACCTTTCAACTCATTGGTTTTTTTTACAGGGTCCTCTAAAATGTTTCCTGGAAGCTCTAGGAAAGCTGCAGAAGAAGTTCTACCATAAGGGAATGAGAATGAACTGTCCCATACGCACATATTTGGTTACTGCTCGTAGTGCAGCCAGCTCTGGTGCTCGAGCACTAAAGACCTTGCGTAGCTGGGGCCTGGAAACTGATGAGGCCCTCTTCTTGGCTGGAGCCCCAAAGGGACCTCTGCTGGAGAAAATCCGCCCTCATATATATTTTGATGATCAAATGTTCCACGTGGAAGGAGCTAAGGAGATGGGAACAATAGCAGCACATGTCCCGTATGGTGTGGCACAGAGGCATAAACACACACCAAAAAATGCAACATCCTCTGTCAAGTGAGGCTGATATATCATGTGATCTTATTACATTTTCTACCTGGATTATCATTATTTATATCTTTATTTAATCATGTGCACATGGCAATTTATGAGAATATACCTATATTGTTTTCACTAGTATTTATAAAACTACAATGAAACGCAAACTATTAAGAAAAGGTCAGTAGAGCATTAGCTACAGTGGGGATCGAAAGTTTGGGCACCCCAGCTAAAAATTTGTATTAATGTGCATACAGAAGCCAAGGAAAGATGGAAAAATCTCCAAAAGGCATCAAATTACAGATTAGACATTCTTATAATATGTCAACAAAAGTTAGATTTTATTTCCATCATTTACACTTTCAAAATAACAGAAAACAAAAAAATGGCGTCTGCAAAAGTTTGGGCACCCTGCAGAATTTATAGCATGCAGTGCCCCCTTTGTAAAGCTGAGACATGCCAGTGTCATGGATTGTTCTCAATCATCGTCTGGGAAGACCAGGTGATGTCAATCTCAAAGGTTTTAAATGCCCAGACTCATCTGACCTTGCCCCAACAATCAGCACCATGGGTCCTTCTAAGCAGTTGTCTAGAAAACTGAAACTGAAAATAGTTGACGCTCACAAAGCTGGAGAAGGCTATAAGAAGATAGCAAAGCGTTTTCAGATGTCAATATCCTCTGTTTGGAATGTAATTAAGAAATGGCAGTCATTAGGAACAGTGGAAGTTAAAGCAAGACCAAGACCAAGAAAAATATCAGACAGAACAGCTCGCAGGATTGTGAGAAAAACAATTCAAAACTCACGTTTGACTGCACAATCCCTCCAGAAAGATCTGGCAGACACTGGAGTTGTGGTACACTATTCCACTATAAAGAGATACGTGTACAAATATGGTCTTCATGGAAGAGTCATCAGAAGAAAACCTCTTCTACGTCCTCACCACAAAAATCATCGTTTGAAATTTGCAAATGAACATATAGACAAGCCTGATGCATTTTGGAAACAAGTTCTGTGGACCGATGAGGTTAAAATTGAACTTTTTGGCCGGAATGAGCAAAGGTACGTTTGGAGAAGAAGGGGCACAGAATTTAATGAAAAGAACATCTGTCCAACTGTTAAGCATGGGGTTGGATCAATCATGCTTTGGGGTTGTGTTGCAGCCAGTGGCACAGGGAACATCTCACAAGTAGAAGGAAAAATGGATTCAATAAAATTTCAGCAAATTTTGGATGGTAACTTGATGCCATCTGTGAAAAAGCTGAAGTTAAAGAGAGGATGGCTTCTACAAATGGATAATGATCCTAAACACACCTCGAAATCCACGGGGGATTACATCAAGAGGCGTAAACTGAAGGTTTTGCCATGGCCTTCACAATCTCCTGACCTCAACATAATTGAAAATCTATGGATAGACCTTAAAAGAACAGTGCGTGACAGACAGCCCAGAAATCTCAAAAAACTGGAAGACTTTTGTAAGGAAGAATGGGCAAAGATACCTCAAACAAGAATTGAAAGACTCTTGGCTGGCTACAAAAAGCGTTTACAAGCTGTGATACTTGCCAAAGGGGGCAGTACAAGATATATTAACTCTGCAGGGTGCCCAAACTTTTGCAGACGCCATTTTTTTGTTTTCTGTTATTTTGAAAGTGTAAATGATGGAAATAAAATCTAACTTTTGTTGACATATTATGAGAATGTCTAATCTGTAATTTGATGCCTTTTGGAGATTTTTCCATCTTTCCTCGGCTTCTTTATGCACATTAATACAAATTTTTAGCTGGGGTGCCCAAACTTTCGATCCCCACTGTATATGCTAACAAAGGCAACATCTTTCCAACTTTCATGGCTGTCTGCTTCAGATTAATTTATGAATGTATGGCTCCAGCTACATGAGCCTACCCTGACTGCCAGCCGCGGGAAAGCACAAATCGCGGCAAACCACAGCAACCACGGTACCGCAATTTTGCAGTGGTTTTGCTGCGTTCTGCGTTTTCCCATGGTCGGCGGTCAAAACGTTCCTATCCTGATTCTTCCGCGTTCAGGAGAGGGAGGTTTAACCTCACCTAAACGTGGCAGCTCCTAAACTCTAGTGAAAGTCTATGTGTACATGGACACATAAGCTATTATGGAGTTGAGTTTAGGAGTTTTGGCAAAAAAATGCCAAAAGCTCCTAAAATCAAGTTAGGAGCTGCTCGTGTACATGAAGCCTAATACGTGAAAGAGTATTTTGTCACTGTCACTAACAGTGTTGCCTTTCAAACATGATTGGAGAAGCCTTATGGTTATTCACTGTATTACTACATTACGTGCCCTATTCAATTCTCTTTCTGCTAAAAGAACATGAGGCTGTAATTTGTGTTTGTGTGTTAATTTACTGTATGTTGGAATCGTATGTTTTCTTTAGGTATTTAACTCTGGGTTTGCACTCCGACCCTTACTTGTTTCCCTTACCCTTTTTAAAACTTTGGTAATTGACCAAAACAATACCAAAATATTAAATTAACTTTTGCTTTGCTTTTGCGCCTCCTTATAAAATCAATTATGTCAACTGCTACAAAACACCTGGTCCCCAATAAAAAATTTAAAGCCCTTTTCTGTGGTGTTGCTAAGGGGGAAAATCAATACATTGAAATATTTACCTTATGCTCCAGCAGGCTTCCCCTTCTGCTAGTGACCAGTCCACTTAACTTAGCTGCCTGGCTGGTAGGTTGCAGCTCACTGACGTCATCACGTACAATGCAAGAGCAGCAGTCCTGCATTGTATGTGAAGGCCCACCGCACCCTGAGAGTGTTGAAAAGTGTATGAGAATGCCAGCTGTCTGGGGAACAAGTAATGAGGCAAGTATTTGTACGTATTCCTTCATCCCCTAGCAAAATGAGCATTTAACCCATGCAGTGCTGGGGTTTGAAGCAAAGATGTGCTTTGTTTTGCCCATGTAGAGCAAAGGAACATATTTTATTTAATCTTCCTCTCCAAAACTGCATATCTACCTTTTCTTTAATCCCCTAATACTCTGGTCAACTCTGCCTTGATAGAGAAAATTTCCAGTACTTCCGAGCATGGAAGAGCATGTGACTCCCTCTATAGTTCTGGGCCAATCACCAACACGTTAAGCAACTAGTTACTTACTGAAAGAAGAAAGGGATATTTGTGGTAAGCAGTATATACTGTACAAACAAACATAAGATTTACAAAAAAACATTTCTATTTTTTTATATTCTATTTTTTTCCCTTAAAAAACAGGGTATATGCGCTTGTCTAAAATAAGTAGGTTTAATATATGCATGATACAACCTCAATATATGATAGAATTTATATTATATATTCGAATATATGAGAGAATTTGCACATATAGATGTCCAAAATGTTTGTTTGCATATACAGTAGATATTACATGTTTTTTTGCACATGTCGATATTTATCCAATGCGTTTCTTCAGTCAGTCTACTCTGGATGAATAGTGCAAAAACCCTGTGATATCTAGATGAAAAAATATTTTTTGAACATCTATATGTTTATTATAAATTTTATATTTATGTGTACATCATTGAGTCATTTTTGTTTACCAGGTTAAGGAGAGTGAAACACTTCTTCTGACCCTCTTTTTTTTCTCTGCTCGTGTACCATCTAATAGGTTACACAGTGCTGCTTGAAGCAGAGCCAAGCAGGTGGCAGTTTAGATTAAAGTAAAAATTTTGCTTTGCCCTGCTTTAAATTAGATCTGTCCTTTTAAAAAAAAAAAAAAAAAAAAAAACAACACATGTACATACAGTAGAGGATTAAAACAATACAGCTTAAGGTGCCAGCACATACCTTCCTTTACCGTACCACATTTTCCAAGTGCTATCAAACCCAGCATTCTTGTTTGGAAATGCTGACTGATCCCCTGGAAATGTGCACATTTAGGGATGTGAAGTATACTTCAAATTAACCTCTAAGTTTACAGACATCCTGGAAATTCTGAAGGTAAAGTGAAAGTCAAAGACCTGTAGGTACCTGCTTTTAACACTTATACACAGGGGCGGACTGACAATTTGGAAACTAGGGCACTGCCCGAGGGCCCGAAGTCAGTAGGGGGGCCCCATAAGATGCCTCTGGTACCTTTTTCATAGGCTTTTTTGAGTTTGGGCAAGGACACAGGGGCCCCATGATCCGCTATTGCTCGGGGGACCCATGAGTTGTCAGTCCGTCCCTGCTTATACAATCTATATTATGCATTCATTGCCAAAGGAACTATTATTTCTAGCAATCAGAGCCAATGAAAGCTGAAAATAACTGTCACATGACTGGAAATAACCATTGTTCCAGCAAATCACACGTTTAGTGATTTAAATATGCTGTCAGCTAGCAATGTTTACAGGCCATAGGTTTAGTTTAGCCTTGCCATGCAAGCTGTTGTAAATGCAGGGTTATCTGGCAAACATGGTCCATATACAGTAGCTCTAAATAAACTCTTCCGTGATATATTTACCACGGTTGAAAATACAATCAGGAAAATCACTTATTTTGCTTTTGTGTTAATCTCCTAGTCACCCAAGGGTTAGATCTCAGACAGTCAACTTTAAGGTGTCTGGTTTGAATCTTTAATCGCAGTCTAAATATGGCAAACTTGACTGCAACGATGACGCAGTGTATGTGAACACCTAGTAAATTGTATAACTGACTTTTTAAAACATGCACTGGGTATCCATTGTAAATTAACAAACTGGAAAGGAGGTAGCAACAAAAGAGCGTTAATCAGTGCACTGTGATTTTCTGTATGTCTTGGTCTTTGCTAAGTGTTTGTTTTAACTTTTGTGCCTTTATGTAACCTGGAATGTACAATTTATAGTCTTCCTGTGAATGTAACCTATAGAATGTACTAAAGCATCATGATATACATATTTTTAAATAAATAAAACTATAAGCTGCAGTGTGAATGTGATTAAATAATAGTGGTCTTAACTTGATTAAACTGTGTTGAAGCATACAAAACACAGAGGTCAATATCTTGTTGTCAAAGGACTTTTTTGAAAAGATTTATCTCCATAAACAAAATATGGTGAACATTTTATTGTGCTTTTTATCTTTAAAAAAAGAAGTATAGAAAGACACACCAGCCCCTGTGGAAATAGTAACTATAGGCCGATTGTGTATGCCTCTGAAAATGGTCAACA